CAAAACCACTCATCTCAGAATTAGGTATAAAAATTGCAAATTTGACTTGTAACGAGATTTCAGAGGGACCTGTCGCGAAAAGCTTGGTAACTACCATCGCGGCTTCCTATTCCGAGTTCTTCTGGACTAACCATTTCTTTCTATGGAGTCGGCAAAAAGGAATCACATGTACGACGACAAAGATTCTGCTTTAAATTCGTACTGGCTCTGCTCTGGTCAATGAATGATAAAGCCCGACGAGGCCATCTGTAAGTCTGGTGCTAGGGCCATACGCTTTTGACTAATTTATTACCTCTATTCTATATTTACTTGTTACGTTCCTCTGAGAACACTTCGTTCACTTATTGAAGGTGTATGCTTAAAGGCATGGTTCACCTATAAATTCGTTAATCATATTTCCCAGCAGGATGAACACATGACCCCAACAATGGCACATAAGAAGTGGATGAGTTCTTACGATATTGTGGCACCAAAATTTCGTAAACAGTGTCATCACGAACCTATCTTCAAATGTACACAAGAGAGTTTTTTATGCACACAAGTGCTAGCTCTCTTCATGGATACTTTATGATAAATGACCAACCTTTACTAGGATTGGAGGAAGAGTCTCTTCCTGTTCGCTCGGTGCTGTATCAGAATCTTCTTGACGTTGTTCTTGCCGACGCAAAGATCTCTCTGTCTCCCTGTCCGTAGTAATAACATCAACAACTTCTTTTCTTGTTGGAGCAGGAGTATCTCGCAAAGAATCTCCCAGCTGCGTTGTGGAACGTGATAGAGAACCATAATGGCGCTGACAATTGTATCATTGCTTCTCTCTAGCCAATACAACTTCACCAGCTACGGCTTACCGTTTCGTCCAAGGAAAAATTGAATTGTATGGTAATTTTTGGAGCACTTTCGGTGAATATGCTATCGTCTCTACGATACAAATGCAGCAGATTTCTAAAGCACAGACTCTCTTCAGGATTTGGACGAGGACCACCAATGAGTGACACTGAAAAAAATTGATTGGCTGGACGCCAAGTTAAAGGCTCATGCTGTTTTAAGTATATCGAGTAGGAGTACCTGAGGCTTGGACCTGACCATTGAGATTCAATTGCGAACGATTTGCAAACGGCTGCCAGGCTCCCCAGCAAATGATCACCGACTGACTGTTAAGGATTGCCTTCTGAAAATATGGATCCATCAGTGTTTTCTCACAGAAT